CGGCAAGACTCCGACGCCAGCTGGTGCTAAGACCATTGCTGTGTGACGCACATGTCATTATACGTAATAAACAATGAAAAAACAGAAAAAAATATGTATTTCCTAAGATGGGTTCGAACCTAGTACCAAGAAAAAAATCGTCAATTAATTGCGATTAATCGCTAAAATCGCCTAAAGATCACCAAAAAATCGGCAATTAATCAAGATTAAGCGCACGATTAATCGTATGATTTTTCACGATTAATTGCCGATTTTTATGCGATTTTTAGTACATGGGATGTGAAGAAGAGCACAATTTGTATATAAGTGGTTAATTTCTTTTCAAACTGATACAAAAAAATGGACATTCATGTAATATAAGAGCTTTATAATGTATGTATAATGAAACATCGATAATTTGTAAATTACCATGTTTCATTTTTACTACATTTCTTAAGCTCCTTACATTGAAACAAAAAGATGACTTTGTCTTATTGATCTATTCTATACTGCTTATGTCAGTAACACTTAGACAGTTACGTGTACTTTAAACCTGTCGTCGATGACTTATGTCTAAATTATTGAAAACAAAAGAAAAGTTAGTCAAATATTTTATTTTATTTACAAGCGTTCACATGCTTTTCTGAAGGAAAACAAAGCCAGAAGAGAAGAGAATTTTTTGTTAGTCGTTTAAGAATATGATAGGACTATAGCAGTAATAGACACTAAATGACGGTGGTAGAACATGTCTTTTCATCGATTTTCTGGCGAAAAGAAAAGCGTAGAATATGACACTATGTATGTATAAACATTCGATACCATAAACTTTAGTTACAATTCGTTTTGTACAGTATTATTCAGATGCAAGAATATTTTTTTTGATTAATTTCTTTTTCATATTATGGATGCTTTAGTACCGTTGACTGTAGCAGAAGGGGTAAATATTTTTTCTTTTCTGAATTAAACAAACTATCTTAATATTAATTTTAATTTTTCTCGTCAGATTCTGCCATCAACCGAACGTATTTTAAAATCCAATTTATATGTACTTTATTGTAAGTTCTTTAAACAAAATAATTTTCTACAATAGTCATTTGATTTTGAATAATTATTTCTTTTAGTTTTAAAAGAGACAATAATTAATCCATTTGATCTTAGTCGACATTATGTTCAACGTATATTGAGAACTAGCAATGATAAATATTTGTTTGATCATGCCAATACAATTTTGGTAAGTTTTTATACAAATAAAAAAAATCTTAAAAAGTATTTTCATATCTTTTTAGTTACAAGAAGCGAAAAGTACAATAGTTCTGGAATATAATGGTCGTTGGTTACAAGCAGAAATAGCATCACGTGGAGGTTTATTAAGTTGGAGATCTTCAGTGGTCAATTGGCTAATTGGAATTCAGGTAGAAGGAGAAACGTAAAAATTTTTACCACAGTGAGAACAGATGGACGACGTTATTTTAAATTTTTTTTCATCCGAAGTTTCTCTCACTGAAAGTAATATTTGTTTTTTCTAGCGTAAAAATCAAATGAAAGATGAAGTTGCTCAACATGCTATTCGTTTAATGGATTCAAAAGATACTCTACGTGGATTTTATGATCGAGATTATCAATTACGAGCATTGGCCTATTTTATATTATCGGCTAAATTTCACAATCGTATTCATGTCAGAGTACGTATGAACAATAATCTTTTCCTTTATGTTAACAATAATTATCTTATTTTTTCCTTTTTTTTTTACAGCTTGAAGAATATGCACGTTATACAGCAAATGCATTTGGTACAAAACAAGATATTGCTCCAACTGTTCGCAACGTATTTCGCGATTTAAATTTTTCACTACAAATTGCCATACCATACGAATTAATGGAAATTTATTTGGAATTAAATAGTAATCAGTATACAATCAATATACCGGAAGTAAGAATATATATAATATTTGAACTTTTTGAAAAGATTGAAATGTTTTTTTTTAAGATTCGTAATTTGGGCAATTTATTTCTTCATATTGCATGTGTTCAAGCATGGTCAAGTTGTTTTAATGCATCATTATTAGCCTCAGCAGTAATGTATTTGTGTTTGAAATTTGTTAAAGATGAAAATATTATTCAAATACCAGATTATATTTCATTTTTGTGGACAACATCATATCCATTCGATTTAATTTGTGGCATTTCGGGTTATATAGCAATGATTGTTTGTGACATACATAGTGTACCAACGGATCGTGCATCACATTATTTTGTAAGTAAAACACTGTTGATCGACAAAAAAGTCACACTCGAAAGTCAAAGGCTCTTGGATAGGAGGTAGTAATAAGTCATACTTTGTATTACTTCACAATGTTATGAATTAAATAGCGACTTATTGAAAAAATCATTACCTTATGTTTATTATTCTTGTTTTAGTATGCCACGAAATTATATTTGGATGATTGTCATATTAATTATTCACTAGAACTAGTCAAATCATTTTGTAAACGATTTGTTTTAATTGAAAATGTCAATAAAATTATCTCAAATGGTATGCGTGCTCTTGTTAAAAGTCAAAAGTTAATCATTGAAGAACAATATATCAATCATCTAAATTCAGTATCAACATTATTTCCTATGACGACTACAACAACAGCTGCTGCTGCTCCCTACGCAGCACTCACAAGTTTTTCAACACAATTAATTAAACAACAACAACAACAACAAACATCGTCACCCGACAGAGATAGACACAAACAGATAGATATTGCAGTTAAAACGGTCTTGTGTGTCAAAAGATTTTTAAACAAATTACATGACAAACAAAAATTGAAAGAAAAAAATAGTAAAGTAATGGATATATCTGATCACAATTATGTTCAGACAATTGAGTAATATTTATAAATTTTTGTTGTATTCTGCGTTTTTAGCGTATTCTCTATTTTTCTTTTTTGTGATCTGAGTTTCAAATATAATTTTTTTCTTGTGAATAAAGTTTAGTAAAGCACTTTCAATATACAAAAAGGTTCGTTCCCAGCGTTTGCTCCTAGTTTATCTCAATCGGTAGTTCCAGCTCAAAAAAATGTTTCATTAACCCATGTCGAGCTCTTTATTAAAATACCAGCGGTTCATCAAAAAAACCGTCGGTATACCGCATGGTTAACCAACAATAACTTATTAGACCGCGGTCTAAGAAAATACCGCACGGTAATCGTTTTTATCCATTCTCCATTGTAGTTTGCAAACATGAAGGTATAAAAGAAACACAGAAAAATTCGAGAAACATGATTTCTTCTTCAGATTAAACTTTTCTTTTAGATCATATAGACTCGTCGAAGTTTCAACGTCGACTCGAGTCAAATTTCTCTCAATCGGGAGCCTGTCTGCGCTTACAAGTGTTCAACAATAAAAAAGAAAGTTGAAAATTAGTTTTGAACTCGTGCTCTACGTGTTCATAATAACAAAATACCAGACGAATCCGGTGGTTATACCGACGGTATACTGTGACATATCGCGTGGTTACCGCCGATATAGCGCACGGTATTTTCGTTTACTATGGCGGTATATCTTCCGGCAATCATCGGTATTTTTTCGGTATGAAGCACATGACTCCCTTAGCGGCTAAAGCGCACCGCGCCATTGTTTTAAAATTTTTTAAGCGTGATATTCGGAATCAGGAGTCCCAGTTGTACTAGTCCTGTTAATAGTTAACGATTCGGATAAAGTCAATGTAAACTCTGTTAACGTTTTCTAAAGAATTATCCAAAACGGTATGTATCAAAGACTGATGTTTAGGAGAGTCTACGACAGAAAACCAGCCTACGTACCGTGAGGCTGTACGGAGGAAAATTTTATTAATCTGGTTTTATTTCTGTTTCATTCGAAAGAGCATAGAAAATAACCACTAACCTGGCAATAACTCTTTCTAAAAGTGCTTTTTTAAAAAACTAGAGGCCAAATACTGTGTTGAGGAGCACTCTTGTTACCAAAAATCGTGAATTTTCACAAATTTTTGTATTTTCCGATTTTCTGAAAAACTATCAAACTCCTATGATTCATTCATGGCCTATTTGAAAGAGAAATGTTTACTCTTTAAGATCATATATTTAGAAAATAATATGTTTAACCTAGCATATGGCGGTCCCAAACTAAAGCTTACTTCATTTTTTAGAGTAGGCAATTCTACATCGATTTATATGTAATAGAAAATTTTAAAACACTCGGGTGATGTGCGGTAAATCAAATATTGGAGACAAGCCTAGATTTCATCATTTTCTTAGTTTTCCAAATTTTGATACAAATCTCAAAAACTATTTTTGAGTCATCACAGATGTAGAGCAAACATTTTTCTACAAGATGAGACGTCGGCGAGCTCTCTGAGATGGTTTTTTATGTTTTACGACAAGCACTGTATTTAAGGCCCGTCTTCTACTGGTTCTTACCTCAGTTTTCATCCATTGGCCAAATGCACTAATTTACATATGGTTGAATAGAGCATTGAAAGTTACATCTAGTGGCATGCTTTTTTATCTTTATCAGTTCATATTCGTAGAGAAAAAAAGTTTTAATTTTGTAAAAATGGCTGGAAAATGAGTATTATGTATGAAAAAAGACATTTTTCTCCTATTTTTCACAAATCAACCTTTTTAGTTTTGCGCTTAAAAACTGCGCATGCGTCAATGTTAGTTACTCATATCAAAACTTTATATAAATTCTTTTCTCCTAACCGTTTAAAATAGATTTTTTTAAAAATAAAGTTAGACAAGCTCGTGAAAGGCACCGCGAGTGGATTCATATATGATTTTTAGACGGTTAGAAGAAAAGAATTTATATAAAGTTTTGACATGAGTAACTAGGCATTGACTCATACTCGGTTTTAAGCGCAAAATTAAAAAGGTTGATTTGTGAAAAATAGGAGAAAAATGTCTTTTTTCATACATAATACTCATTTTCCAGCCATTTTTACAAAATTAAAACTTTTTTTCTCTACGAATATGAACTGATAAAGATAAAAGAGTAATTTGAAGTAAGGTTTAATTTGGGACCGCCATATGCATGGCCTGTATTTAAAAAGTACTGAGAAAAATGCAATTTTAAAAATATTTATAGACATAAATAACAATAAATTAATAAAATTTTCCTCCAGACAGCTTGGCCGGTGCTGTGGCAGAGCTTCTCTTAAAAGGCTGTCTGACAAATTTTGGATTATCACACGCCCTTGAATACTTACAGAAAGCTAGATAAGCCGTTCAAAAACTTTACATAATAAATCAAATTGGAAAATAAATGATAATTTCACTCTAAAATCCTGCACAAGCGACATCTGCAAGTAACTGTCTTATTCGCTTATTTTCGTCGAATAATAAGAACTGTGATCCGATTTAGGATGTACGGGTTAAGATAACCTATACTTTTTTAAAAAAAAATCTACTACACTTTGAAAATCTCTGTACACGTCTCTGTGTTACAATTTCTTTTCGAAATTTTAGACAGACAGTTGCATCAAAAAATGGGAATATTTTTGTTTTACATAACCGTAGTACGTTTATCTAAATTAAAACGTACAACGTACTTTAAAAGAGAAAATAATACTCAGTTAGATGTCGGACGTAGTCGTTTTCAGACATAATGTTCTTGCCGGATTATTTGAAAAACGATCTGTAAATCTTGAAATATAGTCTGTTTTGTAGCCTATAAGAAAAGCAAATTATTTCGTGTATGATTTGAAATTAAGCTGTACAATATACATTAGGAGCTGTCTTTGCTCATAATGTGGGAAAAGATGAGGAGTTGAGAAAAGGATTGGTGTGCAAGAAACGGATAACTGTACTTAGATTAGTTATGATTTGTCTCGTGCACTCACTTTTTAACTCAAATTGTTTAGCGTATGAAGATGCTGAAAATTGTGTTTTTCTTGCTATTGCGGAGGTATAATTTTTTCCCTCTAGAATCTGTGATCATCAGCTTGTACTAGTGTTATTTCAAAAACCCATAGAAATGGCAGCGCCTAGCATCTTTATTAAGACTATTATGAATCTCTTTGTTGTGTATTATACTTGAGCGGCAAGAAAATGACACGAAACTATGAGTATTTTTTGAACAAATTTAGTTACCCTTTGCTTTTTAGTAATAGCATTTCAACTCTTTTTATCTATTTTTCTTTAAGCGTCACATTATTGAAAAAATACGTACTTAATCGAAAAATCAATGCAGCGGCATTCATCTACTGCTCCCTCGACAGTTCAAGCATCGAAAACAAATTCATTACCCCGAGACCAACGTTTCACTAGTGATCTTCCTCCACGGCTAATGACCTTTTCTTCAGACGCTCATTCGTCCTGTTCCTCTCTGCAACACCCATATGTTCCATATGCACAAACTGACACAGATTTCAAATTTGAATCTTACTTGACATGCTACAATTTGATTGCCTTATTTTTACAATATCTACTAATTTATAAGTCTACATTTTGGCTATCATCATCAACAATATCAGCCTCTCCGGGTGGCTACTCTTCATCTTATCGTATTATTCATTGGCAAATAATTGATTATCGATTACTCGGAATATTAATTATCCTCTTATCTCATTCATTTTTACACAAATTAGAAATGAAAATTCTTCAACAGCAAAAACAATTTTTACAATCTCGATTTTCTATTTATTTCTACTCGTTAACCGGTTATGAAACACCGTTTTGTCTCTCATTTCCTCTAGTAACATGTATCTATCTCATAGCTCTTGTCCATTCATATTATTATTATTCATTGAAGCAATTGTTTGTATTTATATATCCTCTCGTTTTATCGATCTTATCATATCATACCACGTCGGTAAACGAATTAAACGAGTAAGTGCAACGTAAGTATGGAGACCTGAAGAGATAGACCACTTACACTATGAAACTAAGACTATTGTGTATATTGGGAGGGATGGCCTATTCAGCTTTCAATGATGAGAAACAGCTGAAATTTTCGTTAGAAAATACATTTTATAAAACTATTTCTTTTTCTATTTTAGGCATAGTTTTTCGTTGTCCACGCCTGATCATTGGTGTACATCCAATGTTTATCAGTTACGTGATGAAACCGAACGTTTACGTTGTGAATTTAATAATCGATTAAAATCGATATTATATTCAACATTTCTTAACACATATTCAATAACAATAATTCCCATTTTATTTAGTACTCGAAAATATATTCGTTTTGATTTTCTAATGTTATCTCAATTTGTCTTTATCATTTATTTAAGTTTATTTGTATTAAAATCTAGTCATTATTTACCGGTACAATTTTTAACTACATTACATCGTAATGCAAAACATTTAGGACAATGGAATAGATTAACAACATCTACCGGAACCACAATACCACAAGTATGGGATGATCAACAATCAAACTATGAACAATATTCGATTGTTAAACATCGACGAGTATTATATCAATGTAAAAAAGGAACGAATGTTAGTGAACCAGGCAATATATGGCATAAAAAATTCTATTTTCTATTTGGTGAACCTATGAGGCTACAATTTATTTTATTTTCAATAGAAATAATTCTTATATCTATTCAAATATTCGTATTTTTCTTCAATCAACGCTGGTATATTCTTTGTTCACAAATGATTCTATTTTTATTGAATACTTTCACATTAAAGAAAATTTTACGTGATACATATTTGTTATATATGGTTTATAAGTAGGAAAATAACTGCTGTATCATTATTGACTAAGAACATGTGTAATTAGATGAATATGCTTCGTTATGAAGTATATTATCCGTGATACTGTGTGTTTGTGTATCGTATTCTTTAAATATTTCTCATCATCGAATCATATATGTTTTATTTTCAAATCAGTTTTTCTCAATCATTGTTTTTTCTACTATATAGACTAGTTTTGTTTTGTGCCATTGTCAATGAATGAATAAACCCGTCCATTCACCTACTTTTTTCTTTCTTTTTTTCCACATATTATCAATAACGAAGATGAGTTTTCTGTTTCTAAGGTTTTTTTTTCTGTTTTCAGATTAAGACAGACGTGTTTTGAAGATGATGAAAAAGCTTGATTACGTTAATTTACCTGGCATTGTATGTTGCTAGTTTTTTTCGTCTTGTTTTCAAGTGGTTTAATCTATGTATTTGTTTTTTTAGGCTAATGATCAACCAGATTGTTTTGAAACACCTGATTATCCGCTGCCAGATCAATATCACGAAGTTGGTCATGACAATACGGATGCTGTATCACAATTTGATATCAGTACAAAAGAAATTCATGATACATTCAATGGAAAATATTTAAATGGAAACGCCGTTGGTATGTTTGTGTAAAAATAGCAAGCCTTTGTCCTGCTATATTTTTTTTCTTCTTAATAATGAATGTGAGTGTGAGAAAGACAAGCGATCTGCTTCTTCTTACATTGTTAACGAAACCTAGCGATTATATGACGATGGAAGACATCGTCGAGTTTAGAAACATGTAAACAATATTTTTCAAGAATTTGTTTTAATGACTTATAGATTTTTCCGATAATTCAGTAAAAGCACGAGGATATGTTCAACACGGTGTTTACCAAAACGTACGTATGACACAAATGATGTTGTAATTGTATGTTGATCAATCATGTCAAAATTATTTTTGCCTTGTAGTATAGTGAACACGAGTCAGAAACACCTATAGAACGTTATAAACGAATAATGAGTGAATTGTCCGTATTAGAAGCTGAATTGGGTCAGGTATATTAACGAAAAAGAAAAGGTGTTAGTTAAAAGTAAATTTTTCTGATTTATTTTGTTTAGACATCAAAAGATGGGAAAGGTTTAACTAAAGAAGAAAATGAAAATCTTAAGGCTGTCGTTAACCATGTTCAACAATTACAAGAACAAACATCAAAAGTCTATGGTGCAAAATATTTAATTTCTGGAAATAATGCATCGTCAGGAGATGGAGGAACTGATACAAGGTAGAAAACAAAATGAATAAATAGGCAATTAGCTAAATTTTTTCTTTAGTTCACTAATAAGCAAAATAGTAGCTCGTCAATCCACATCAACAAATGCAAATAAACAAGGGAAAGTATCAACACCAACAACAAATGACGATAATAAAAGTGGATCAGAAGCATTTAAATTGTATATTACACCAACATCATCAATCTCAAACACAACATTAAGAGTATGTTAAAATTAGATTTATTTGTTAAATAACTAAACGCAGATTTATTTCTTATAGTTTTCCGAAATAGAACAAAAAGTATCGAAATTAGAAAGTTTGATTGGGATAAATGAACAACCATTGGTAGGAGACAGTATTATTAACACTTTATATTAATATGGCCATAATCTATTATTTTTAGAACTCACTTCCAGGTGCTTCAGATTCAAAATCATTACTTGTAAATATACATTTTATGTTATGAGAAAAACAGTTATTGCTTTTGAATAGTATTTTCTGACTAGAAAAGTCTTTTTTGAAATTGAAGAGAAGGAAAGTACACAATACATAATTTGCTGAAATGGAAATGTGTTTGCGACTAGAAAGGAATTATCTATTTGTATCAGAGACAGGACACCTGAACCTGTGACAGTAAAGGTAAAAATTTTAACAAAAACCAGGAAAACCTATTTTTGATGGTGTGCGCTCTAATTCGCAAAGCTGATCAACTTTGCGTTGTGTGCGGACTTGGACCTGTACAATTTAGACCTAGACCTTACGACTTGAATCTGAAATATGGGCTTTTAATCCTTTCCAGCCTGATGTTACCATTTGGCAACACTTTTTGCTGTGTTTTCGAAACAGCCGGCTGGAAAGGGATAACCTGTGATCTAACCTGGACCTGGACTTCATGTCCCCATCCTGACAGCTTCTGTGAGTGGTTCAAATTGCTAATATTTTTATATTTAGCGCTATGATCTATTACCGTCGGGTGTTCAAGCTCGGCAACAAAGAAAAAGTAAAAAAATACTTCATTCAAGAATAGAAACGTTACATTTGGTTTCTGTGAAAAGTTCAACTGAGTTCAGCCTGACGGACAACTGTACGCAAAGAAGTCAACTAGTCTGACTGGTGGCTAATAGCTCGTTTATCTAGTTTTCTGCCAAATTAAAAATTCAGTTAGAATCCTAGATTCAAGTCAAGTCTAGATCATAAGTTCACTTTTCAGATCCGGGTCTCAAGTCCAAGTCCGCTGGACTTGCCATGGACCTTCTATTCTTTGGTTTGTATTGCAGTAAAACAGCTGTTATTCCATATATTCTTTAACAATAGTGGTAGTGTCTACTAGTATTTTCTATTTTAAACGTTCACATTTGATTCATGAATTTTAACGAGGTATAGAAATAAACAATGGCATTATTATTTTTAGGCTTGCCTTGAACATCTATCAAATCGTTTTAATGTACTTGAACAACAAAATCTTGACCATATTGAAATGAAATTATCAAATGTTTTAACACGTCTAAATGCTATTAATGAAAAAAAGGCTTTAGTTGATGACCAAGATAGACAAAGTAAAGTAAGTAGTTGTAATAGTATTATTTTACTCAGACTATATAAAATAGAATAAAATAATTAATCTTTTAGGCTACAGAGTTATTTGATATGATGTCACGTTGGGAAAATATGGCTGCTAGTTTGCCCGCAATTGAAGAACGTCTAGTTGTACTTAATTCTTTACATCAGCGAGGTAAACAAAAATGTTATGTATATCTTCTTTCTACTACCATTTTTTAAGTTTTTTCTTTGTAGCATTTCAATTTAGTTCAGCTCTGTCGCACTATGATGCTGAACAACAAGCTCTGAAAGCATCATTGGATTCAAATGAGCAGTTGTTAAATAAGGTACACGTTTGCTATACAGATTAATTGATAATGATAGTTAACCATTTTCTTTTATTTTTATTATTTAGTTGAAAACAACATTTCATACAAATTTAGAATCGTTAAAAACACAATTGGAATTCATTGATTCTAAAGTAGTTAATAAGAAATAGATAGCAGCAAACGAAGTTCATTATTTTTGGTTCATGACGCACGTATTTTTTATCAATGGTTTCTGGATTATTGGCTTTTGCTTCCGACGGTTTCTTTTGTTTTTGTTTCTATTCAGATACACTTTTTTATATAAGCACAAATTTTTTCTCATTAAACAAATGTGGTTGTTATTGTTTTGGTTGTTTTTTTTCTTTAACATGGCTCATTGGCATAATATTTAGTCGAAAAAAAAATCAGATTTAATAAAAAATTATCATGGTTGTTATATTTGTAAAAAATGTGATGATTGTTGTTGCATTACAAACACATACAAAACATTTTTACAACAACAAGTTCATCAATGACCCGGCCGAACCAATCATCTATGTATTGATCTGAATTTTCAAAAGTTTTCTGTATTCGTTTCGTGATTTTCATATATTATTATTGACTACAACCGTTATAATTCAGTACTGGCAACAGTTACCTAGGGCAGTCCAAAAGTAGTGGTTTCAATATTATATTACTCCACGGAAAGCTTACATAAAATTCCTTCCCATATGTACTTGTAGTATCAACAGTGCTCTATATTTCTTCAGTGTACCATCCTTTACCATTTGCTATTGTTATATGAGAAAAGTCCGACGCCAACTATGCACCCATGTTTTAGATGAATAAACAAAAGTTTCGTTTCTACATTAAAAAGTACATGACCTCTACATGACCTTTCTTTGCAAAGTTGTAGAATTTACAAGAGAAGCCCTAACTCACGAGGAAAGTACCCCAACTGATAAATCGCTTTTTCAACGAAACCGAGTGGACTATAGGTAGTCGACGATACTGATTCCGAATATCACCATGAATGCTGCTAGGCCTTCAGAGACCGGTCTTCTGGAAAACCAATTTTCGAGAAACTCTAAACAACAACCAAAAGCTTTCTTAATGAGGCGTAATTGTAGTCCATAAATTTCTGATTAAAACGAGGCATCTCCCAGCTCTACACGACCTTTCTTTGC